ATTAAATAATAATATATGAATGGCAATAATATAAATCAAAGTAACAAAATAGGTAATATTATATTGAACTTCCTAATGTTTCTTAATACAGAATAAATAAACAAGTTAAATGATTTTGTCATGAATTTTTTTATGTGATATTTGAATAATTAATTCAATTCTAGCATGCCCATTTCTTATTGTTAATACAAACGATGTCGATGAGAGAAGATTATAAAGATTAGATAATCCTGCTAAAAATATATCCATAGCTCTTCGCAGTTTATGACAATGTGAAAATTATTATTCCATTACTACTGTTTTATCTTATTAAAATTACAATTGAAGTAAAAATTAATGCTAACATTAAAGTAAAAATTAAAATTAAAATTAAAATGTAGGAATTACAGATATCATTATTTATTTAAATTAAATGTTAAATCTTTTATTAAAGAAGTTTTTTGTATAAAAAGGAAAAGAATTTAACTTTATTAATATTTAATCTTTGATAATAAATTTTTAAGGTACATATAATATACATTCAATAAAATTCCAAATAAAAATATTTTAAATAAATAATCATTTTAATAATTTCAGAAGAAATGCGTTTATATTAAAAAATAGAAATCATTTTTATAAAATATATAATCCATTTATTAATAAATTAAAAAATATTTATACAATTTCATTCATAAATACGATATTTTTATCACTTAATAATATAAATTGTAAGTTCTACAGCAAAAGTTATTATAGATTCATGTTTAACTATACATGTTTCTTTCTGAAAAATAGAATATTATTTGTAAAATAAAAAAAACAAAAATTGTTCATAGATTATCTAAATTTGCTGTTCAATAAAAATTTATATTAAAAGTCAATTATATAAAATTTTTTTTCATTAAATTAATTAAGCAATGCTATTAATTCAATTCTTTATTAGATGGTTATTATATTCACAATTTATATCATAATATTAACGAATACAAATTTATTATACTAATCAGTATTAAATTAATTAATAGTGAAATATACTATCAATAATAATGTTTGTAATTAACATAGTTTCAGTGTTATACTTTTATTAAAATATTGAAATATTTCATCAATAAAAAAAAAATATTTATATAATGAATATTCTGTCTATGATAAGATAACTGACTTGTTAGCAAACGTCAATAATGATGCAGGCAATGAAAATAGAGAATAAAAAACTTTTAAAAAACTTATCTAAGAACATTTTATAAAAATAATTTTTATGTTAGTGTGTACTCAATTTTACTGCATTAAATAAATATCTATCATTTATTTGAGTTAGAATATTATATGTACATGCCAATCTTTAAGAATATATGCTATTTATAATAACTGAGAATATTATAAGTAAACGCTAATCTTTAAGAATTTATGCTATTTATAAATAAGTATGTATATTATTAGTATCTAAAATTAATTAGTATATTTTATGATTCTCAAGTAGAAACTATATAGCAAATCAATATTTTGAAGGTATTATTTTTTAAACATATACACATTCACATTTTAATTATAAATATGATCGATTTATCAATATTTACATATGAATAATGATCAGTATTGAATCAATAACATGAATAATGATCAGAATTGGATAAAAAATAGAATAAAAAATAGGTTAAAAAAATTACTAAGAATTTTAATATTAATGTTTATTAATATGAATTATTTGGGATTCGGTTTATATAAAAATTATTTTTTTTTATGTGATAATTGTTTTTAATTTAATTGAATTTAATTTAATAAAATTGTTTTTACTGTTTAATTTAATACATTTATTATAATTGGGATTATGAGTTTAGGAAAGATTAAAAAATTTTTATGTAAAGTGTTGAATTCATATTATTTTATACAGAGATCTATAAATTTTTTATATATATGGAACTCTTTCACAGAATAACAATTAGTAATTAAATATTAATTTTATAAAAACTAAAATATTATATTATTACCAATTATATATTAAGATATATTAATTATTTATTAAGAGCTTATAAACTTGAAATTTATAAATTTATAATAAAATGTTGTAATTGAATAAAGTAAATAAATATTACATATAAAAAGTGTTTTATCACGTAGTAATTCACAAGTTAGATCAATCTAACATTTTCTAGATTTCAAGTTCAATTATAATATGTAAAATTTATAAATTAAATTATTAGCATATTTATGTATTATAAATTTATTTTAATTGTATAAAAGTTCCCAAAGTTAAATTTATAGATAAAATTTTATACGAAACTTAGCAGAATATTTTATTGATATATAACAAAAAAAACTTTATAAACAGAATATACAGCTATCAATATTTCAATCATTTTGGTAGTTCAATACTTTTAAAAAGTAAACATGTGAAAATAAAACATGTAGATTTAAAAAATAATAAATATAAACAAATAATTCAGATATTATTTATTATATAAAACTTTAGAAACTTCTTTTATGATTCATAATTATTAGTTTGATAATGTAATATACAAACCATAAAGAGGTTTCGAGTGCTGTTTTTGTTTGTTTCTAATTTTTTCATTCTTAATTTTATGTTTTGCTATTTAAAAATTTCGTAATTTTTCAGTCAAATCTAATATACAAGTTAATTAATTGGTACGTTTATTACAAAATTAAATTTTTCATATTTATTTACACAAAATAATATATGGGTATTCTTTTGAAAAAATAATTATAATATTCAGAATTCTTTGTTATAATATTGGTTAATTTTATTAATATGAATATATACTTATTCAAAATTATTTATCTGTTATTTATATATTCTTATACTATAAATTATTAAATTATAGTCTAATAAACGATATGAAAGGTAGATTTAAATAAAAATTGTATTAAGGCATGTTTTTTATACTAATTAACATTAATTAATTCAATTAAAAACTAGTAAATTCAGCTTCATTTATTAATATACTTGTATTATTTTAAATACACAGAAAGACAAAACTCTTCCAGCCAAAATTTTTATATAATTTTAAGTTATTCTGTATTTAGTATTGAATGTTTATTAATAAAAACTATAAATATTTAATAAATGAACACGTACATTTTATGTATCAAATAAATTTTTTCGTTCAAATTTATTTTTATTTCTGTTTTTACTTCTTATTAATTAATAATTAATTATTATATTAATATAATTATTATTAATATATAATTATTATTATATTAATAATAATATTAATTAATAAATTAAAATTTTAAATATGAAAAAACTAACATAATTTAATACTATTTTTTTCCTGAAATTAGTATTTAATAATTTATGTTATACGTATTCAATATTATATTATAATCTGCATACATTTATTATAATGATATATATTTATAAGAAACAACTTTACCTACAATTAATTAAAAATTATATAATGGTATTATTAAAAGTATTATTAATAAATACAAACTATTTATTAATAATGTATTAATATTATCATAATTTTATAATGCGAAGTTAAATATTGATAGAAAATATAGAATATAACATTCCATTTGTATATACTATTGGATAGGATATAATAATTTATAGAATTTTTCGAATATTTAATGAAAAACATTTCATAAATAAGTACAACATAAATGCTGTTTTACAATATAAGTCTACGCTAAGTTACAATAAGTTATATAAAAAGTACAATATATAGAATATTATTGCTAATAAAAGCTTGTTATTTAAAATTTACAGACTTATTTTAATATTGAGAATTATTATTTAATTTTAAAAAATACAGACTTTATTAAATAATAAGAAAACTTTATAAAATAGTTTGAATAAAAAATATTTTCTTAGCTATTAAATAATATTCTGAATAATTTCTGCGATTAATAGAATATTTAGTTATATAGCAATATTTATGGTTTATGTACTTAATATAGTAACTACATAAAAATAAAAAAAACATGGTCGTACTCACATGTTTACATGATATTGTGCACTTGTATAGGTAAGTTTATCCATTTTTTGATAAGTTATTCTATTCTTACATTATTATCTTTTATTAATGAACATTTAAATATTTCAATGTTAACATTTAAATTTGAAGTATTTTTTAAGTACAAATTTGAAATAGCTTCAAAAATGAAATTTTTTTATACAATTATTACTTAATAATTACATTCCAAGTTTTAATTTTTTAGTAAACTTTTTAATCTTCTGTCAATCATAGACAATTTTTTATGATATATATATATATATAAATATATATGTAAAAATTATTGAAACTATTATAAAAATTCGAGAATAAAACTTTTAAAAAATAACAGTTTCGTTGATCCTAATTTTGTAAACGGATTCGTTAAATTGTGGAATCGGTATTAGTTTTTGTTTTTAAATGAAATTATTTAAAGATTTTATACACTTATTCAATCAATAATACATAGTTTATTAAAATATTAATGCGCCATGGAAAGCTATCTTTTGTTAATGTTATTTTATATTTTTTATAAGTTTTATCTCAATTTCTATTTGTATCATATAACTATAAAATTTCAATTGATAAAATAACTATGAAATAACTAATAAATAATGATAAATCACAAAGAAAAATGACTTCAATTTATTACAAAATTAATTCTAAGAGCTTTTTAGGTTAAGTAAGTTTAAAATAAAGAACTAATAAACAAAGAAACCATATAAAATAGATAATACGAAAAATATTATGTTTTATTAAAATATACATGTCATAATAATCCTTTTACGACAATAAAACAAATAAATAAGTTAAGTTAAAAAATAAAAAAATAAGAGTGATACAAAATGAGACAGAAATAATGGAAATAAAAAACAAAGAAAATTAAGAGTCATAATGTTAAGTAGCAGGCTAGTAGATTTTATATTTGCAAAGTCGACCTATGATTAAAAAGACATAAGGGTGTATATATTGGCGCATGCTCAATCTTACAATTCTCGTTTTTCTATCATATACATGCAAGCAATCGTGTGTACGAGGGTGCATGCGCACCACTTTAAGTGAACACTAGCGGGGTCACTCACTATATTCTCGTATATATCTCAGTCTGCGTCTGAACGTTGGTTTAGCTGTTTATTTTTGTGTATTAGCTTGTAGGTATTTTGTGCCGTGGGCCCCTTGTGCGTCGCAAACTGATGAGCAAGTCTACTTTAGCCTTTTAGTACAGCATGCGAAAACGTAAAAGTCAGAGAAAGCTTGAGACAAAACGATAACTTTCTGTGAAAGACAAAAAGTATGCCGGTCTTACCGACTATACCAACATGAGGAGTAATAGGGGCGACAGGATTACGACAACAAAAACGACGGTGGGTTCTTAAATCACACTGAATTTTAAGTAGTCAGAAATTGCATTGAGGCAGACTAGTCTATACATCAGTAGTAACAAATCAAACAATATATCGATCATTTAGTATACAGAGCTCTGTGTACTCGCAGGTTCACTGATGCATGTATATACATATATATATATATATATATATATATATATATTTATTTATATACGTATGCTCACATACATGAATGCACGCCGATATATAAGAAATATATAATTAGTGTATGTATACGTGCGTGCCTGCGTGCCTGCGAGTGGATGTGTGGCAGTATATGTGTGAATACGCATGTGTGGGTGTGGATGGGTGTGTGTGTGTGTAAGCGCGTCTACGCTAATAGGCTTTTTATACATAGCATGCGTGTATGCGAATTATCGATTTTCGCGCCTACAATGCACGAGGGCGCTTCTGACGTCAGTCATTACCAAACAGTAAATTTCGATCGTCTCGAGGCATTCTGCATTCTTTTATGTGAAAGCATATGCATTAAAATTAAAATTGAAAAGAATGAAGATTTTTCCTGAGCTTACAATCAACGATTGCTATAGATATTTAGGCTTGTTGAATACAACATATTAGTTTAATATTAGAATTATTCTTCAAAATTAATTAAACACAAGTAAAATGGCTCTAAAATTCAGATTCATTAGATTCAGACTCATTCAGATGTATTAAAATAATACATTATATTATTCTCTTGTAAATAGATTTTAGTTAAAAAAGGTATTATGAAAATTAAAAAATCAAATTCTCTTGAGCAAATGTTGACCTTTACTGATTCTGGTTATATTCGACTAATAAAAAAACACTTTTTAGTGCACAAATTTTTGCTCGCTCTGAAACTTTTACTAGCTTCTTTTCTAAAGTTTATTCTTTTCTCATTGTCTTCATTGGTTTGTATGCATGTTATCAGATACAAAATAAAAGAAAAATAATTGCATAGATACAACTACGCTCTACTCTACTTAAAAGCTTCAATGTGCATACATAAACAAGCACATTGCTTTTAGAAAAGTTTTTTCAGCCTTATAAATCTGTGAAAATATTTATCATACATAAAATATTATATTTACATAACGATGATATAATCGTTAGTCATCGTGTTTTATTATAAGTACATTAATTTTTATATGGTTAAACTTAAAATGTAAATTCATAATATACATATATAATAAAATTTATAAGAAAAACATCATCATTAATATTATAATTATAATTATGATTAAACTTACCTAAATTCATTCGATTACTTATTATTTTTATATAAAATTTCAATAATTATTAAATACCAGTAAAAAATATATAAAATGTATAAAATAATACATTTAAATAAATAAATATAATAGATAAAATTTCAATTGAAAAACAATTAAATTTTGAAATATATAATACATTTGATATGAAAATGATGCTTAATACATTAGTATAAATTATATTCACTAATTTATATTACACTTCTTGCAAATCTAACTCATGTTCTTATACTTCTGTAAATCAATGGTGCGTACCTAGTTTCTATTTAGGATATATTTTTTAATACATTTTTATAGTTAATTAGTAATAAATGACTCCATTTATTATTATTATTTCAATATTATAATTCTTATATTTATACTTACAGAGTACTTTACAGGCATGTTTACTTCCATAAAATTTGTATACAAAAGTACTACGTCATTGCCATAGAAATTTGAAGAAGATACATAATCGTATACATTTATAAACATATGATAATAGTATGAGTTTATGTATCAATTTATGTTCAAGTTGTTTTATTATTATAATATTAATATTCTTGTATTCTTTATTTTTAATAATAAGTAATTATTGCGCATGTGTTTGGAATTATTTTTATTTAAATACTCATAGCAGAAATGAATCGAAAATTAAAATATATTTAGAGTAGAAAAGATACTAACTTATACCTACAATCTTCGTTAAAAATGCAGTGATTGTAACTACATTATCTTAAATCTGTGATTTAAAAATAATCTTATCTTGTACTTTGTATTTTTAATATTATACATTTTCAACTTCATTATTCATATAATCTATAAAATAGATGTACAAATATCTATGTTCAGACGTCGTAATGCAGTTGTTTCATCTTTTCAATTAAATTTCATTTATCTACATGGTGTTCAGAAAATCCTTTCAAATCTTTTCCAAATATTTTTCATATTATAATATCATACAGATTATTAATTGCTTTAAGACTCTGCTTTTTTTCTAACATATTTATTTTTTATATTTATAATGTCAATGTATAATCGATTTAAGTGAACTTGAAAAAAGAAATTGAATAATGTAAACTTAAATGCAAATCTTTCATTTGAATTTAACTCAATAGTATTCGAAATATATTAACAGATTATCAGTTGAAATGATTTAGGCATTAATTATATAATACAAATAAACACATATTTTGTAGATACTAATTTTAAATAAAGAACAATCATATGCATCACCTTGCAAATATAAATAAAGATATAAAATAAATAAATAAATATCGTATTCTTTATTATCTTCGATCAAATTTATTTCAATTAATGGATAAATAAAATAAGCACGTTAATTATTTTTTGCCATATTGTATTTTAAATAAGCTAAAACTTAAATATCGAACGAAATATGGTTAGAATAAGAGTCAAAACAAATATAATACTTTTGGTAGGTGAAAATATGAATGGAATATGAACAGATCTAGTACTTTTATATTACAAGAGTAGCATAAATGTAAGATGAACATAGCATATAGGCTATTAAAAATAGCATGCTTAAACGTAATGTTTGTTATTAATTGTTATCATATTAAAGTTTTCTAACAAATCCACCTAGTGGTGAAGGTAAGTTTTCCGAGATTTACTGAACATTTGTTTATAAAGATTTTTCAAAAATGTTGAAAATTTACCTTTACTTTTTACCGTCTATTCAAGTAAAAAAGATTTATAATATTGTTAGGTTGATAATCGTACAAATAATTTTGAATAATTTTGAATAGAAATGTTATCACCTCTATTACCTTTTACAAATTGACATAATTTCATTAATCGGTTCATTTTAAAATAAATTATCAAAGATAAGATAGATTTGTAAATTTATAAAAGACATAGATATGTGTGTGTATGTGGGTTCATACAGTATTATTCTACTGCTAATCCAAATACAATTACAAGTATCCCTACATAATTTATCGATGCCCTTATGAAATTATAATGAATACATTAATTAAGTAAAAAAAGTATCTCTGAAATATTTTTGGGATACTTTATATTTGTCTTTTACATTGTGCGAACAATTATTTTAATTACGCTTTAATTCTATATTTTTTTATAAAAATCTACCATCAAGGCAATAATAAAAATTAATTATATAAAACATATAATATATTTATATAAAATGAATATATTTAACTAAAAATTATGTATTTAATTATTATAATACCTTTCTATTAAATCTAAACAATTAACAGATTTCTATCAATAAAATGTTGTATTTTGAAAATTAGTTACAGTACTATTGTAGTTTTATTTATTAATTTCCTATATTTAATATATATTAAAAACATGTATTATTGAAAAATTAAAAAAATTACTTTTATTAAAAAGAAATTTTCGTGAAAGGTTTATTAAAGTATTTTACTTATAATATATTATGCTTTTCCTATAATATTATTTCTGTATAATTAATTTTAATAAAATGTATTATTTTTATTTATGCTGTGCATTATTATGTAAGTGTATTTTACTAAAAATTGACTCTATTCGTCTGTTTTTGATAATATTAATAATATATACGTATATGCATATTTATATGCATATATACACATATATACAAATTGTTGTAAATTTCATATTTAATTTTTTGACGTCATATTTAACGATGAATTTATTAACTACTTTTATACTTTATCGTTACATCTTTTGTTTACTTTATCTTTATTAAATTTTTTTTCTTACTATCCTATCTTTCTCTTTCTTACCTCTTTTCTTATTTCAAATTAATATAAATTAATAACATTTATAATGAAAAGTCATGGATTTAGATTATTTTTTTATAATTTATTTAAATTAATGTATTCTTTAAATATTAATTATAAATTTTCTTTAATTTGAATTACAAGTTCTAAAAATTTTATAGTATTTCTTAACTAAACGAAATCATTAATTAAGAATTTTCTAAATAACTTCTAATACTTTGAAAGAAGATCATCGAATATATAAAGATGAATTTGAAAATGTGTATAGAGTAATATACACAAAAAAATTTTGAAATAAGAGAATATTTTCACATACATTTACATGAAACACTCATCACAATTAGAATAATGTAGATTAACTTTCTATTCATGCTACACAAAAGATTTGGTCTTTTGAACTATTATTTTAATAGTTTCTGAAAAAATATTTGGGGAAAATCATCACCTGATAGTTGAGAACCCACATTGTTGACTTTTTGGTTTTATGTACAGCTTTCTTGACAGATGTATTTCATAAATATTATATTTTACTCCTATCATATTTTATCATATTTTACTTAAACTGAATTTACTTCAAACGGTTTATAATAGTAATTTTTTTCCTTTTTTATTTTTATTTCTGTATATGTATATATATTTCAATTTTTTTATATATATAATATAAAATAAATGATTAATTTACTATTTTCGAAAATATTACTATAGATAAATTATTAATAGTAACATCAATTTTTCTACGTAATACTAACTTTACGTTACCATTTATCATAAATTAACAAATTCAATAATATAAGATTATCCTATTTCAAATTAAATTTAATACGTAAGCATTATATTTACTGCAATATCAATGATATAATAAGCTGATTCTTTTATATCGATTACTTAAAAAGACGTGATAAATTACCTGTATTTACCGTAAATCTTATCTCTTTTAATAACTTAATAACTTAGTTTATAAACAAATAATATTTTATTGATGAATTTAATAAAATATTACAATATATAGCCTGTAAATTCACAAAATGATAAAATACTGACAAGTGAATACTTTAAGATTTATATACAAAATTAAACATTTTTTAGATAAATATATTCATTGCTCTCCTATCTGCTGCTACTAATTTAATATAAATAATTGGTCGAAAAACGAAAATGAATAAATATTTTTTTTAGATGCAAATACTACACTCGTTGGCATTTATAATTCTATTATATTATTGACTCACATTTAACACTAGAAACTTTTATAATTAAATTAAAATTTTTGTTAATTAAAATTGTTTATCATTATTACAATCTAATTTTTTATATATTTGAATTGTTTCATATTAAGTAATGTAAATAATATGCCAAGGAAAGTCTTTTATTCAATTCAGATAGAATTAAGTATGTAATATAAATTAATGAAAATTGAATAAAATTAAATATAACTGAATGATTCAAACATATAAATCTTAAAATGATTAAAATATTTATAATAAATTTAATAATTATTCGATGAAAAATAAATAAACCTAAATTCTTCACGAATTTTTCTCTAACACTGGAATAAATATACATAAATTATATAGAAATGGGTATAAGCTCATGCCTTAAAAATATTTACCAAATATCTCATTAACTAATCCATGCAATACATATACATATATATGCTTGCCTGGGATCAGACTAAAAGCCTCCCTGAAATGGTGGATGGAGGCTTGCTGGCAATTGGAAGGGACAATACAATAATTCAACACTGCCTTTGAATGTAGTTTTTCCCTTTATTGAATATAATAATATAATAAATAGTCAGTGGTCTATTGATGTAGAATTGAATGTATGATGCGATGAATAGATGAGTTTCTTCAATTAATATGAGCGACAAGAATCCTGTAAGTGTATTCTTGATGGCTTGGTGCTTGATTCTCCTACTCGTAGTTATGAACTCTCAGTGGTAGTGGGAGATTCGCGCTGTAAGGGTCAGCGATGATGCCGCCTTTGCCTCTGCCAAAGTCTGGAGCGGCCTGTGTGGGGGGCGCCTGTATCACGTTACTGATGCGGAGCAGTAATGATGCCGTTGCCGCTAGCAAAATGCTCGCTGTGTGGTTTAGTGGATAGAGGATATCCGTGTCACGATACTGCTTGACGTGTGGAAGTAGTCCTAGTACCGTATGCCGCTTATTAGTATTGCTGCTTACTTAGTTGATGGGAGCCGTGTGTTAGTGATCCGTAAGAACGTGCGTAATAGCATAGCTTACGTGTGTGGAGTCGACCTCAGTGCATTAATAGCACGTAAGAACGTGTTGAGGTCGATCCGTGTAGTAGCGTTGGTAGGCAATGAGCTTGGCTTTCGTTGAACTTGAGTCGATTTGTGCAGCGTTGGATAGCCGAATGAGCTTGGCTTTCGTTGAGCTGAGTCGATCTGTAGGACGGCGTTCCGATCTTGATGAATGTATGATTGAACTAGTAAGAGAGCGAGAGCGTCAAGCGCGCTTCCTTAAATATCCTAGCACAGGCTTGCGATTCCGGTGAATTCTGGATCACTCTTGTCATGCTGATTGTTAGAGTGACGTCACTAGAATCTAGCCTTGGAGAGTTCGTCGACCGTTGTTATTCGGAATTGTAATGTAATTTCGACTATTTGAGTAGTGAAGTTTCCCGATTTCGTAGAATCGTGTTTATGCCTCGGCGCGCAATGTTTCGACCTAAGCAGGTGTCTTTACCTCTCCCACTTTGTTTACCGCGTAAAATTGCTGCAATCAATAACAATGCTTAAATATATATTTGACTGTTTATTTAAACTTTTATAGTTATTATATTATTATTATTTTATTAAAATATATATTTTCAATTTTACATAAATTAAAAATATATATCTTATATATATGCTTAATATTTAAGCTAAAATAATTTTTAATTAACAAAAAAAAAATCTATTTAACTTTAAGATATTAAATTATAGATTAATCAATATTCTACATATTACATTTTTATGTGGAACTAATACTAATTTAATATTATTATTTTTTTCTCAATTTTCCTCAATTATATTATAAATTATGAAATTATTTAAATTAATTTTTTTCTTAAGAATGTTCTTATAGAAAAATAAACTTGTACTATTAATACCTTCAATTACTTATAACAGGAATTGCACATTAATTAGAAAAAACATATACTATTTCGGTATTATAAAGTCATAAAGTTAAAGCATATTCCACATTGACCTCTATCAACAATTATATACAAAAGAATAAAACGAGAAGTCCTCTAATAATGAATAACATATTTTATAATTTTTTTTAGAATAGTCAGTTTTTTATTAACATGTAATTATTTTGCATGAAAAAAATAACAATATCTGTTTTTAAATTATTTATAATAAACGGTGCTACAATATATATTAGCTATGTATTAAAAATGGTATATATATTAAATTCTATTTTATTTCCAAGTATAAATGTTATTATTTTTAGAAATTAGAATGTACCCTTATTTCGATTAATCTCACTAAATATAAAAACAACAAATTTTATACAATTCATAAAAAATTAGATCATTCTATCTATTTATATCTATTTATCATTTATATCTACATTTACATCTACATCTTCTATCTATATATCTATTTATAGATCTTTCAAACTATGTATAAAATACGTTGATTCAAAAGAATGACAGGTTAAACGAATGTTTTTATTGGAAAAATTAATAATTTGTAGAAAAATTTGAACATTGGTTTTTTAAAATAAAATATAATTTTAAATACAAAAAATTTTCTTAAAACATTACATAAATCATTAAACTTGAATGCAATTTTCATGCATTCTGATGAAGAGATACGATGACTTTGTCAAAGTGAATATTTTTATATATTAAGAACATAGTCATATATTATGTTGAGGTGATATGTTTGTAACTTTTGAGTTGTAATGTATATTGCCAATATTGATGTGCGTTCGTTGTAATTATATATTAAGGTATTCTTCTAACTTTTAAGTAAGCTTTGATTTTCAAGTATATGAAAATAGAAATACACTTTCCTAATAGAAACTTTAGGTACTTAATAGTTATTAAATCTAATTTCTCTTAATTTGGAATGCAATATTCATGAGTTACTAATTAGACTTTTTCAACATAAAAATAAGTTGTTCACTGAGAGAGAGAGAGAGAGAGAGAGAGAGAATGACAGATACATTAATATTGTTCTAAATTTATTTAAATTAGATAATTACTTTAATTTGATACGTTATGGATGAAATATAGATTTCTGTTCGATTTAACGCATGATTTATCCACATTAACTTTCGAAAATTGAAAACTGAGTAAAGTGGAAAAATATTCAATATTAATATTATTTTAATTATGTAAATTATGAAACGATCTAATATGTCTATTTACAAATATTTATATTCCTTATCCTTTCTATTTGTTAATATATATAAGTTTATACTACTAGATATTTTATTTAGTAGGTATTAAATGAAATACCAACTCTCACTTTATATTTTTATTTATTAATCGGTCATCACAAAAATGGGATGAAATCGTCTAGATCTTAGATATTTATGAGAAAATATTCATAAACTAAAATAATGTTTATATAGCAAGTAATATACGATAATTTCATTAAGTTAATAAGAATAAAAATGCATAAGTAAGTTATAATAAAAATATTATTATATGAAATAAGTTAGTCTATAAAAAAAAAATTATAGAAAATAACATTTTAGATTACTGGTTGATATTAGAATTTTGAATCATATATAATACATCAATAATAAATTGAAGTAAGTAAAAAAATATAACTCAGCTTATAATTTTTGCATATCATAAATATATAATCCAAGGCTATATATATTATTCAATATTTGAAAAAATTGTTTGTTCAACATATATAATTTGGAACATATAATTTCAACTGGTATTATTTTGAAATAGTCGCAATTTCTTTTAGATTATTTATAATAATAAATCTAATAGAAAACATGATTAATCAATACGAAATATAATAAATAAATGAGCAGTTCACATCACAAACATCATTGATTTATTTTAATGATACATTAATGTCTTATTTGAGTATTTATATACAAAGTAAATTTTATTATATCCAAATGTTTATACTTGAAACTTTAAATATAAAGTATAAATTTCTTTTATGTAATGTTATGATCTTTGATTTAAAATTTATTATTTTTTATATATACTAAATGTATTTTTTTCTATGCATTTAAATAAAATAATAATATATTTAACGATAAATTTAATGATACATTGATATATCCATTGAATATTTAGAAAGTATAAAGCATTGGAAGAGTAGTTGTAATGTTAGAGTCAACGATTAATCATAAATGAATAAGGGAATGAAATGGTAGAAAACTGTTCGGTTAATATTTTTATTTTTTAGATAAGCCAAAACGAATTTAATACATGCAGTCGGGTACAACAAATAGAACAACGGTAGCAGAGCTACAAGGCTTAAAAAATGAATCTTATCAATATGGACGCGGAAAATCGCGTAGTATTAAATGTTGGTGGCATCAGACACGAGACATACAAAGCCACATTAAAGAAGATTCCCGCGACCCGTCTCTCACGTTTGACCGAGGCTCTTGCAAACTACGATCCGATCCTCAACGAGTATTTCTTTGATCGGCATCCGGGTGTTTTTGCTCAGGTACTTAATTACTATCGTACAGGCAAACTGCATTATCCTACAGATGTGTGCGGGCCACTTTTCGAAGAGGAACTTGACTTTTGGGGTCTCGATTCAAATCAGGTTGAACCTTGCTGTTGGATGACCTATACCCAGGTACATTAAAGATTTACATCTATTTTACAATTAATTTAATTGTTTATTATATTAATTAACAGTTGCTTTTCCTCATTTGAGTTAAATTTTATTAATAATTTATATTATCTTTATTTATTACAATTCATTATTTATAACAGTATATATTATATTTTCAATAATTTAGTAAAATTCTTTGTGATAAATAAAAATGCTTCCTTATATTCATATTTCGTGTTTATAACATAAGATTTTAAAACAATTTTCATAAATAATATATATATAATATTTCTATGTTTACAGATATAATAGATATAACATATATTGTAAATTATATCGTAATGATATTAATTTTAATATATAATACTAAATATTTCTATTTTATTTTATTATAAAAAGAAAATAAATCGTTGATATCAAATATAGTTCTCTATGTCAGAATACATCAAAGGTTTCAATTATTTAGAGACGAAGAGCGATTATATTAAACAGCCCTGTTTCATTTTCATTTCAATGTAAAAACAATTTTATAGTTTATAGAAATTATGTATTATAAAGAAATTAATATATCGTTTAAATATGTTTTATTTATAATATTCAGTATATTTTAAAACACTAATTAATTCATGCAACATTCTTGAAATGTAGAGGAAACTAAATATAAAAATGAAAATTTCAAAATAAATATTAAATTGATAAATATATTAATTGCCCTTTTCTCAATACTTGTTTAATTATCTAGTTCATTATTTTGATAAGAATAAAAGATATTGATACAATAATTTCATGAATACTGATTATAATTGAAACTGTCTCGCTACTACTGTCAGTTTTTTATAAATATTTGGCTCGCTTTATTTAATTTCCATCGAATTATTATATTCTACCGATAAGTATCAATTTATGAATATTTAATAAAAGTTATAATTATAATAATTTTTGCTTTAATGAATTTGAATAAAATTTTCCATATTATCATCTTATTGCCAAATTAAGAATTTATTTGTCAATAACAATAATTAATTATTTACTAATATATTATTACAATGATATACCGGTTGATATGCATATAGTGTTCACTATAAAGATGGATAAAAAGAAAGGGGAGATAATAAGATATTCCATTAAGAGTATAAAAATTCAAAAACGAAAATATTTCAGCCTTTTACTCAAAACTTTAAACTTTAAAAAATGAAGTAGTTGCTTATTGGTTGATTCATCAACTTGGTTGCTTATCTACGCTGAATATGAATGCGATAACTTATAATTATTTTGACAGAAAATATACTGGAACACTATCATTTTGCCACTTTTTATTTTAATGGGAAGATATCAAGTTATATGATTGAGATTACTTCTAGAAATATAACAAATCTATAATTATAGACCATTTTACATACTTATAATACAATTGCATATATATTATCCTATCAAATATCTTTATTTTATAAAGTACAGAGTAGGGAGCACATATGTTACTTATTTAAAATTTAAACCAGGATTATAACACAAGTAAAATTATTCTTTAATATTTTGAGAATTATTTCAACTCAATTTTTACTCTTTTAATTAATTATTTTATTTGAATTATTTGTTAACGGATAATTATTTAATTATGTATAAAAATATTAGAGAATATAGATATCTATAAAATACAAATACAGAAACTAATTGTGGCACTAAGTATCATTTTATCATTTTATAAAAATAATTTTATCATTTTTATTTAATCTATATTGTAAATTTTATTCTTATATGCCAATTAATAATTCAAACCATAAATCACAAAGTCATACTTATTCTTTTTTTCATAGAAATTTCTCGTAGTTTTTGTTAACACATTTCATTCAAGTAATTAAGTAACTTAATATCAAACTTAATATTATGTTAAAATTGCTTTTAACAGTATGCAAAACTATTTCATGCTCTTGTAAAACTTTAGTTTTTGATAAAAATATAACAATAGCGTATTTAATGAGATAAAATATCTTTACTATAGATTAGAAGAATAGATATAAGAAAGTATATATTTAAATAAAGATGAAAAAATATGCTTCTTTTATATATTATACTTACGGATAAACTCTTTAAAAATATATATTATATCCAAATTTTTATTTTGGGCACATCGATCTTCAGGGAACTAAAATGTATCAACACTATTCTTTTTTTCTCTTCAACTATAATTTTTTTTAGACAACCATATCTTAATCTCAATGTGTAAATTACATCAATCATGATTGGTAAGCTTTCAGACCTTCTTTTAATTATTTAATCTGTCTCGGGCTGCAATGAATTGAATTAAGATTTAAAGCAAAAAAGTTAACAATTATCAGATAGTTGATCCATAAAGTAAATTAAGTAAATTTTTACTTAACACAATATCTGTGGTTACAAAAAGTGGTATTCTCTTATCGTATCAGTTTTAATCATACTTTTAAATTTTTTAATTTTCTGTGATTCATTTCTGACTCAACTGATTCGGTGATGCACACACCCTATTCACATACCGACTACATATTATGGTAAAACATATTATCCAGAAATGTTAGATTAATTTACTTTTATCGTTTATTTAATTTCTCTTTAAAAAATAAAATTATAAATTGTATAATAACTCCCATATATAAGTGAAATGTATATTATATTGAATTATTTTTACCACATTTTCATTTTTTTATTTCTGACAAATATTCTATATTTAGTCACTACTATTTCTAAATTTATATGCAAACTAATAATTGTAAGATATAAAATATATATATACATATTTGCATGCGCGCCTTCTAAGTGTGTGTCTGTGCATGCCTGCGTGTATATTTATTTAAAAATAAATTAGCCGATTTAAAATTTTAAATATATTTGATTCTTATAAATTATGATATTAATAAAAATAATAATAATCTAGAAATTGCATTATATTATTATTAATATTTATATAACAAATTCATTTTATTTAATATTAAAATTTACTATCGATGTACTTTTCTTTTCAAAGGTAACTGAAAATAAATTTCGGATAAAGTTGTACACATATTAATCGCGAAGGACTTACTACTCTTATAATAGGGCATTATATTACGCTTGTCATAAACGATGCTTAAATAAGACTACTTACTAGTTATAAGTATATTATATCGTTCTAAATTACAAAGATAGATGCAATAATTAAATTATATTAAATTAAAATATGAGATAAAATTTTAAAAAGTATAAAATAGATACAATTTGTAAAATAATAAAAATCTTTCAATTTAGTTTAGCTTAAAGTGTACTATGGTGTAATATATTTTTATTTCAATTAATTTGCATAGTCTTATGTTGAATTACAATCTTAATAAGTAATTTATCATAGCGCAAATATAACATTATTTTCATTGAGCAGGTTGTATAATCAATTTGCGATAATGAAAAATATATTAATTTTTTTTGAAAAATATTTTTCAAATTAAATCGTGCAAGACTAAAATACAGGTAAAATGTAACATAATGTGTAGACACATATCAATACTATTAGTAAATGTACATATGCATTTATATATAGGATTTCCAAAAATATGAAAAGAACCTATTTTCACTGTTATACTTTTTTTTTATATTTTACATTATTTTCTTGTTTTCTATTTTAAACATTTTCTTTTAAAAACAATTTATAATTTTAGTAAGATAGAAATTACTACTAGTAAAATTAACTAGTTTTAATAAAAATTAAAATCAATTTTTTATAAAAAATTGGTTATTATTTATATCTGTGCAAATTTAGATAAGTTTGACATATTTTTTATAAATGTTATACACTAAAACTTAAAAATATATTGAGATATTCAACAATAAACACGTAACGGAAGTTCTTATAATTGAAATAATAATTGGCATTAAATAATATATTTTGCTACTTATTAAAGGGACTTTTATAAATAAATTTGTTAGCATATAGTGGCTATTATAACAAAAAGATAATAAATTTTAAAATATTGCAAGAGTTTATCTAGAATTTCATACATATTTTTGTGATTCTACAAATAGAAAAAATGATGAGAAAATAAACTATTTATTTTCAATTTTTAATAATAGATTAATTATTATTCTTTAACAAATACAGATTAACAGTAAAACATATTTTTCACATAAATTTACTTTATATATAACTGAATTTGTTGTGCTAAATTACAGTGTGTTGATTAAAAAAAAAAAAAACTGATTTTGCAAGAAATTAATTACTAGAGTTACTACGCTAATTACTATAGTTAAAATAATATGGTAATTAGTTATTCTTCTACTTTATTTCTTTTGACTAATTCACGAGTGCAGCATCGTGACACACAAGAGACGCTAACCGTCCTGGACAGATTGGATCTTGACACTGAAAAACCGAGCGATGAAGAACTTGCACGGAAATTTGGCTTCGAAGAGGCTTACTACAAGAACCAGCTTACTTGGTGGCAGAAGCTCAAACCAAAAATGTGGTCTCTTTTTGATGAACCATACTCCTCCAATGCTGCCAAGGTCGGTACCAACGTCTAATGTGAGAACAGCTCCTAAAGCAAAGGTCGATCGCGAAATGATCATGATTAATAAGGTCGAAGCTATTACTTTAATCAAGCAGCATCTTGTGTAAAAATATCAGAAATTTTTTCATTTAGGTTCATTCTATTTATAATGTATAATATTTAATTAATTTACACTGCTTATCACATCACTTATCCAAAGTAGTACTGTTAGACAAAATGGTTTATGTGACAATAGATTAAGCTTGCCTTATAAATATTTTTTTCAATACTTTTTATAAATAGAAGAAATTGCATTTGATTTTTTATTTCAGTCACTAATTATGTTCTGCATGTATACGTTCAAAAACATATATATTGTATAAGATTATTCAAATAAATCTAAGTGTCCTTTTATGTATTTAATTAATTCAGTGAAGTATAAGGGGAAAAATTTATGAAATTAATATAAAAATAAAATATTAAATACATCTGTAATATAATTGTACAAATATTGTATATTTATAATGAGTATATTACAAAAAATTATAAAAATTACTAAATAACCCTAAAAATGAAAAAAATCTTTAAATCAAAATATATATAATAATAAACACTAGTTTGAGCATATTTTAACAAATTAAAAAAAAAATTTTTTAATTTGAATCTATTAAATGTGTATATATATATATTAATCATATATTAATATATATAATTTAAAGCCAGAGAATGTTGTTTAAATTTTAAATCTCAAACAATTACTATTATACATAAAAATACTAATATTAATTTATAAATAATTTAATAAGGAACACGATTTCTTTAATTTTCATAAACTCCAAGTCTTTCTTACATTGTTGTTTTGAATATCGGAGGCGAAATTAATTCATTGTATAATATTTTTCTTTTTAGAAATTTCTATATTTAAAGTTGAATAAGCTAAAATTATCAATTATATATATTATGAAAAAAGATGAAGCTTTATATTTTTTATTTTAAAGTATTATATTTTTATTCTTATTGAATTAAAATTATTTAATAATATTTTAAAAAATGGTTGCACTTTTAATTTATTTATGAACCGTATAAATTGTATATTTATTAAGCTATGATCATATTAATTCATATTTATACATATAAGAATTCTTCGTATAATTAAATTTTTTTTGCTTATTTCTGCCAAATTAGATTCAAATTAAATATAATCTTATAATAAATATTAATAAATGTACAAGTATCCAGGGTAGAATAATCATATAAAATTTAAATAATTACTAGAAGATAAAGAATTTAAAATATAGATTTAAAACTAATTCAGCACAGTATATATTTATTAGTAACAGTATATACCATATTTTTTTATTTTTAATTTGACATTAATGTATATTGATTTCACTTACCTTATTATGTAATACTTAACATTCAAGTCTCATAAACAAACATACTTATTTAAATAGTAAATTTTAAGTTAAATTGAAAAACAATATTATTTATTATTACAAAGTTTTAAAAATTTCATTGTACAACATTTATATATTTTTTAATATATAAATTGTTGTTATAATAAATATGTTGTATAAAATGTGTTTTCAAAATAAATTATTTTAAAGAAATAAAAAGTTTTTATTATTCATAATAAAATTAATTCAGATTGAATAAATGATATAATTATCCCCTGCTAGCATGTGGGCTCTTATTTCTGTATGAACTTATTTATTTAACTTTATTTGCCTTATTTATTTAACTAATATATCTTATGTATATAGAAAAATTCGATTAATCTGTGCTCTCGTTGCGATTGGATTTGACTTCATGACATTATTGGGTTGATGTTTGGGCTTTCAGATAATTGGTGTAATCTCGGTATTTTTCATCTGCGTATCAATCCTGTCATTTTGCTTGAAGACTCATCCAGACATGCGAGTGCCGGTAATCGTAAACAAAACCGTATATGCAAGTAATGGTACATCCTGGGTTCTGGACAAGACTCACACCAATGCTCATGATGCCTTTTTCTATATCGAATGCGTTTGCAATGCTTGGTTTAGTTTGGAGTTCCTCATTCGTATCACTGCTAGTCCAAATCGCTGTGAATTTATTAAGAGCTCAGTGAATCTTATAGACATGATTGCGACATTAAGTTTCTACATCGACTTGGCGCTGCAAAGGTTCGCATCTCACTTGGAAAATGCTGATATTCTTGAATTTTTCAGTATAATTCGCATTATGCGATTATTCAAGTTGACAAGGCATTCGTCTGGCTTGAAAATTCTTATCCAGACATTCCGTGCCTCGGCCAAGGAACTGACCTTACTGGTCTTTTTCCTAGTCCTCGGCATCGTCATCTTCGCGAGTCTGGTTTATTACGCCGAGCGCATTCAATACAACCCCAAGAATGACTTCAAAAGCATACCACTGGGTCTATGGTGGGCCCTAGTCACGATGACCACGGTCGGCTATGGCGATATGGTGCCCAAGACCTACGTAGGCATGTTTGTAGGCGCTCTTTGCGCTCTCGCCGGTGTACTTACAATCGCCCTGCCGGTGCCCGTGATCGTCAGCAACTTTGCGATGTATTACAGTCACACGCAGGCGCGAGCCAAGCTCCCGAAGAAGAGGCGTCGAGTACTTCCCGTGGAGCAACCTCGGGTTCGAGTACCCGGGGTGTCGGGGACCGGCAGTGGCCCAGGATCCGGTTTATCCGGACCAGGTCATCCACCGCCGGTCACCGGCCACTGTCAGGCCATCAACACTGATACTGGAATGACTATAACTAAGCATCAACGATCTAATGCACTGAAACCCAACCATCCCAAGGATCTCTTTGCAACTAAACCGGGTAAGTTTTGTTCTTTATATATAAACCATTTAACTGCAGACTCATAAACTACTATCTATTATTTCACAAATATTTAATCGACTCATTTCAGTCAAATTTAAAAACTTTTAGTATAGAAGTAAAGTAAAAACAAGCTCATTTTTATTATTTCAACTTGTAAGTTTTAATTCATAATACACAAATCTTTCACAATGTTATAATGTCAACTCTACAACAAAGAAAATTCATAGAAATATAACTAAAAATAAAGCTTTAACATGGATCTATTACCGAATAATAAAATGCTATAGTTATTTATTATTAATATAAATATATACTATATATTAATATAAAAATATAAAATCCTATAATAAAATACGATTTTTAATAGTTAGACTCTAAAAATAATATTGGAATGCAATAATAAAAATAAAAATAAATTATGTATCTACTAGTACATTGTAACAAAAAATTGGTAATTACGAAATTATATTTAACAATAATAACTTTCAACTTTTCTTTTAAACCATTAGTAAAAGAAATTTTGAATCTTTTCTTGCAAACATTATCGAAATACTAATATATGTAAAATTAATATTCCATAAATGTGTTGTAATCATCAAGTAAAACTATATAATCTTATTACATATTTCTTATGAAATACATTTATTGACATATTTTTAAAAAATTTATAATTCTAATCTCTCTCATATAAATAAAATGGATTATATTTAATTTCGTCGAAATATAATTGCCTCGAAATTTAGGTATTTATTAAGATTTCTTGTTAATCATTTTCTATAATTCTTATAATTGTATTAATATATAATCATACAGTAAATGTGTGGTTTTAAAATTGAATAATTTAGATTTGGTCAAAATTGTGACAAAATAAAAGATGATTTGATCCATATCATTTATGTAATAAAAAAATATTATTTAATTTTTTGCACATGCATAATAGGGTTTTCTTAAAGGTGCATAACACAATTAAAACAAAACTGATGAGCTTATAAATTATTTTTCATAAAATTTTTATATCTTGCTCAGAACATATAAAATATATATTATTAAACAATCTATAACAATCTATAACAAAATATAGTTTTTTCATTACGTAAATTTAATACAAAAAATATAGTCTTTTCATTACGTAAATTTAGTAAAAGAAAATTCAAAAATAAAAATATAATTTTGATTTTCAATATTTAAATACATTTATGTCTTAATGTAGAATATATTTAAAGTTTCAAGATTTTAATAAATATGAATAATCAAAACACAATTAAATTATTTCTTTCATGAGCCTTGGAACAAAGACAAAATTGATATAGTTTTCATTAAATTGACATTCAATTGTAATCATTTATTTCGAAGAATAGCTTATACATTCCTTTAAATACAAATACTCTAGTTTGCACTACTCTTTAATAATTGCATATGTATAAAATTGCACTATATATTTACAAAAAATTTAATGTTAATATATATATATATATATTAGATTTTAATAAGAGTTAACAGCATTAAGAACATTTTTCTTCATCATAAATTAAAATATTCATTTTAACGTGAAAATGAATATAGCTTATACAATTCAATATTTATTAATAAACATTATAATAAAATTATGAAATCTTAAAAATGTTTAGATCTATATTTAAAGTAATCTTTAATGTGAACAACTTTACATAGTATATATATTTAAATTTATAGTTTTATTTTAATCCCGTTTATGTACTTATCTGTATATTTATTTTTATATTTATTTTATATTTTATATTTTTATATTTGATTCTATAAAAGTAGATCAGATAAATAATTGTTCATGTATAAAAAAAATTCTAATAACTTTTACGAAAGTACGATAAAACCACAAATCAAGAGCAAATAAATATATATGTAATGAAAGAGAATCGATAATGAATTAAAATTACATATATAACTTTCACCCATGATGAATTTATAAATTTTATTCTTCTTACAAGCCTACATTCATGTTTATGAAAAGTTTTATACTATATTTTTTTGTATATAAAAGAATGATATTTTTGTATAAAACTTATATAACTAATAACGAATTTGAATTTAATTCAAATTTAAATTAAAAATGTTTTTTATAATTTTTTTAATCTATTGATATTTGAAATCAGTTGCAAAACTTGATAACTGGTTATCTTGATTAATTTTCAAAATAAATATTTGTATTTTTTAAATTAAATATTTAAATCTTATTTAAATTTAAATAAGAATACATAACATAAATTTAATAAAATAATGACTTGTAAAATTTATTATAATATATATAATTAGAGTGACATGCTTAAATTGAAATAAAATCTAATATTATTAAATAAATTGTATGATGTATATAAGATTTATTTTATTATTTAAATTTAATAGAACTACTTAATACTTTATTGAGTATTTTGTTGAAACAAATTAATATTTCTAAGATACTTTATAATTATTTTATACTATTATATGGTTAAAATCAAAACTAATTACAAACACACTTTTTAAAATCAAATCTGAATGAGCTCTCTGTATTATAATTTGCACAATGTCTCGATCTGTGTAGGTGCATTATTTTAAAAAGCAAAGACTATAAACTTGATGGAATCCACATCATTATTCTGAAAGCAGATTTTTCTCTGCAAAGATAAATCATCTGTCGTAGGGTGAGCGGTTTACACATGAAGTAACGGTAATGCTGCTCCTGAGGCTGACTCAAACATCGTTATCTGTTTACACGGCCAGATCGACCATGATGCTACAAAAATTTCCACCACTACAACATCGATTGCACTCGAGCAACGAAGTCAATTTGAAACATGAAATGCGAAGAAGCACTGTGGCAAGTTGTTTCTACCGTCTAAACATGACGAGCTTTTTCTTCGTATACAACACCGAAGCAAAGCTATCCATTTAAAAATCAAACAATAGAATTCGAATAAGCAAGAGCAATAAAAACGGAGAAAATCGGCAGAAATAAGTTTAGCAGGAAGACCATGGGAGAGCAAATTAATTAGCTATCATAAATTGAAATGCATACTTTCTCTAACCATAATGTGAGCTTCTAGTTGGGTAATTACTCAAGAATTCGAACTTAGAAAAACGGACATTGTACGTCTGCATTTAACTTACTGGTCACTCCATTGGTTATTTATCTATCTTCTTAATAGAAAATTATAAAAAATAGTAGGAAAATTGAAGATAAGTTATAGATCTATAAAAAAAAATAATAACCCTAGTAAAAAATATTGATACATAAAATTAATTTAAAAAAAAAACAATTTTATACGGCAGTACTAAGAACAAACCTTTTTACTTTGAAAAATTAAAAATTAGACTTACAAATAAGAAAATTTTAAATGATTAATTTATATACAAATGTACGCACACGTGCATGTGTGTATATGTATATTCAAATATAGATAAAATTATATAAGATGAAGATAGCAAAATTCAATAAATATCATTTATTGCGATTCATAATCTATAACAACCGAATAAAACTTCAACCAAATTTTAATCTACTAGAAATAATATGAATTTTCAATTATTAATACCTTATCTAACAAAATATAGATGATAATAATACATATGTATGATGATGATGCCTCAACGTTCATTCATTCTATTCGATAGAAAGCGAAAGAAAATTATGAAATTTTCACAAATTGCTAAAATGACCTTGAAAGAACTACGAACAGTTTCTTAAATATAAAATATAGTGACAAAACTTTCTTGAAACGTTTAAAAAAATAAAATAAAATAAATGTTAAATAGTATATATATATATATAATATTTCTACAACAAAATTTGTAATTAGTTTGTGTATATGATTGTATGTATATGATTGTATTTACAGCATTGTATGCATGAGTGAATGTGCGCGTGTATTGCATAAAACAATTAATAATAAAATTTTAATAATAAAATTACAAATTGTGTTTATATAATTAAATTATGAAATTTTTCAAAAAAAATATTTTTAAAAGTAATATAAAAGTAAAATTTAATGTTTTAAAATAATTAAATATTTTAATAAGTTCTCTAAAAAAATTACTTTAAATCTAGTTACTTCTAGGAAAAAGAAATTAATATTTTTAATTATTTATTTTAAAAAATTAATAAAAAAATTGAGTATTAATATGAAACATTGTGATAATTTTTCGTATATATGATTACAGTATGGTTAAATCATTGAAGATTAAATATGAAATACAGTCAAATTTACTTACCTAAATTTCTGTTTTTAAAGTGATAAACTATTTGTCTCTATAAATATTAACCTTGCTAACACACCTTTCATTGTTTTTCTTTACTACATATGTTACAGACGAAGATCGGAAAAGCACAAATTTGCGGACTAACGGGACCAAAACAGCTGCAAGTATGGGTTAATCAATACTAAAAAAACACGCATCTGTGAGTAAACGCCTATGCTACAAAGGATGAGAAAATTATTGTTTATTGTTTCAATACTTAAACAAGTGCTCAGCAGATAAATGCAAATTTGTATGTAGAAAACTATCGTCACCCCAAGGATAACAATTGAGAATTTCAAGAATTAATATCATAAAAATAAATCCTAGTTTATGACGTCATACTGAGAAAGATTACGAATGAAGAAAAGACAGAAGAAAGAAAGAGGGAGAGAGAAAAAAAAACATAGTCTGAATAATTTCATAATGTTCAATAATATTATTAATATTATTGTATTATAAAATATTAATCAGTTCTTTAATAATATTCAACTTTCGAATTCTTCTATATCTCTTATTCGCTTTCTCCCTTTATCGTCTCTTCTTTCTTTTTTACTTGAAAATATATAGGCTATATATATAATTTTTTCTCTTACACGCCCAAGAATGAATAAGTGAACAAATAATACATTTGATAATTTCCAATTTTCTAAACTGAAAATTTGAAAAATAAAATTGCAGTTTTTGTCTTCTTTTATGCAATGTCATTACTTTAATTAAAATATTGCAAATTATTATTTCAAGGTGACTAATTTACTTAATCATTGACAAATTTTATTCTTTGATTTTTTACTAATTCTTTTATGAAATAAAATTGATATTTCATTCCAAAATTTGATTTGATTAATGACAACAAAATATTTAGAAGCAATATAATTCATTCATTATAATTGGACTTTAATGGTAAGTACAAATTTTTGTATAAAATGGAATCGCGATTTAAACAAAAATCCTTTTTACAATACGATGATAGTGATAACATTAATATTGTAGTAATTTGATTAATTAATCAGAAATAAATTAAAAAAAAAATTAGAAAAATATAAACCGCAAAACTAGAGATAAAAGTTATATAAAATTAGTTTCGTTACATTTTTTAATTTTACTTAAAATTCTCTCACATGCTCTCTCTCTCCTTTCCGATTCGCTTTCTCTCGTTTTCATTTTCACTTTCATTCATTGTCTCTTTAAGGTTATCTATGTATCTATTATTCATTTATTTCCCTATTTCTTTGATTTTCTAGATATAATTGAAAGTTGGTTTCTTTTCAAAGTTTAAAAAATTATGCCCATCTGTTTAGCAAGTGCTTAAAGGTATTTGTAATATAATATAATAATAAATAAATTATCACAAATAAAATATTTCGGACGTCGTACTTTCAATTTTACCAAATAATATATTATACATTTATAAAATTAATTTTTTTAATTATCAACAACTGATTCAATAGTTAATTTAGTATTTTAAATTAATTTCAAGATTACTTTAGTACTTAATATATTTTTAAATATATTTTATATATATGAGTTTTTAATTACTTGGCTTATATGCATTATATATCTTATCACATTATATATTATTTATCCATTTTTATAGAACTAAAAGTATATACTATAAATAAATACGTTTTTTTATTATGTATACAAAATTAAATAAGAGACATTTCCGGTCCTAAATCATATTCCATCTACAATATTTCATTTCACCTACTCACGTGACATCGTCATAATAAACACAAATTACTAAAAAATCTATATTTCAGTAACAAAATGTACAACTAGTACTACTGACAGTAGCATGTATTGTTATTGTTCAATTGATAAAAAATAATTTCAAACTAAATTTCATTCAGAAATCACTAAAATAATACTTTTTAATCACTATAAAAAATAAAGCAGTGCAAATACGCATTTAAATGAAATGAAATATAATAGAACTTTGAAGTATATTTTTTTTATAATTTATTGTTCGTCTATTAATATATATATATATAGCATAAAATTCGTTTGTTCAACTAAATTAAATATTTATAGGTATTTTAATTAAGTAAGAAAGCTTTAAAGTATTATATTTTTTATTTAGTCCTAAAAATATATGTTAACGTGAATGAAATTTTCAATCAAAGAATTCAATTGTATCATTTATGATAATTTATGGAAATTATGTTCTGATTACATTGTACATTTTTTTAATAATCTTGAATATTATTTAAAAAATTTTAAAACAATATACAACGAAATCATGATCAACTATTCAAAATCATTCAAATATAGCCATTCAACAAACCACAATCTAAAAGAAAATTGAATTCAGTACAATAAAATAATCACTGTCAATCCAATGATTCTCTTACTAATTTGTATTCTTTACTTACAGTTGTAGAATATTATGAGAAATTATAATAGCCATATATAATATATTTTCCACAATAAAATTATTCAATTACTAATTATTTAGAAATGTATGTATCTTATAACTGGAAGTATACTGTTATTACTAATTTAATAAACTAGAAAAAATATATGCTACTGACATTTTCATTATAGGGACCAATCAATATATCGATTTTTGCTGTCTGTTTCTATTTACACTTCTTATTCTTTATAAACTTTCAATTAGTTACATATTTAAAAATATATATTAATATTCCGTAAAGTGTCGATAGAATTATTTAACATTTTTATTATTATGTTTTATTTTTATTTTTATATAATTTGTTATACTTTTTTATGATTGTATAATTTTTGAAAAATTATATATTTTATTATACAATTAATAATAAAAAAAATGTATATTTTTTGTGAAAGAAGCAAATTGTAATATAAGAAAATATAAAATTATGAAAATATGAGCTTAAAATAAATAGAGCAATATTATAATTAATTTTTATTACATATGCTAACTAGATTATTTGAAATAAAAAAATATGTACGGCATTACAAAAGTTTTACGATTACTAAAGTAAATACTTAGATAATTTTGTACAAGTAGATAATTAAATTTGATAATTAAATAAATTAAAATACAATTATTTTTATAGATGCAATTTATTTTAAAAAAATTATAATTTATTTGAGTTTTAATAATTAATAATTCAAGCAATTAAACAATCTGCATAAGTAAAAGATATAAAATAAGAGAAAAGGTAATAAGATACAGATATATGGATAGATATGTTGATTAAGAGAGAAAAACAGAGATAGATAAATAGAGAGAGAGAGAGAGAGAGAGAGAGAGAGAGAGAGAGAGAGAGAGAGAGAGACAGACAGACAGACATACAGACAGACAGACAAAAAGACACAGAGACAGAGATTGAAGGAAAAGAATTTAAAAATATTCTATTAGATTAGTTAGATATAAATCACATTGATGTTTGTATATGTTTCTTTAAAGTTAAAAAAATGAAAAAAGGTAACATAAAATTCAACCACTCTGCTTGTTACTAAATGCCAAACATCATGCTGTAAGATATGAATGTTTTTATCTACGGCATATCAGATACTGTGAATCAATTTTTCCTCCAAATATCACACATGTGAACTCATAATTTTCTTCTATCTATCTTATATGTCCTTAATTTTTTGATCATTTTTAACAAATCATTAAATATCACCAAAAGTTGTACTGCTTTTTTCATTCTGCAGTTAGATGACCCAATGAACTGAATTTTTAAAATCAGCATTTATTATATTTTTTTCTAAAAATTTGAATTCATTAAAACTAATATAAAATCAACATACAATAATAATAATTTTATACGGATGTTTCAACACGTTTCCATATTTTCTAATTGATTCATGATTTTGTACATTACACAACATCAAAATTAATTTTGTTACCATTAAAATTATAAAAATGATTCTTGATGCGATTTTTTTAGTTTATAGTTAAATATAAAGTTTTATTAGAAAATATAGATAACAAGAAATAAAAAAGAAATTATGGTGACCTCAAAAAATCGTAGTCAAAAAGGCAAGTAAAAGTAAGAAATTATAAAAATTAAACAGAATGTATAAGGGTCTAAAATTAAAAAAATTTCAAATTTGCTGTAAAAATATTAAATTCTAGAATATCTATAAGAATTCTAAAAGAAATTAAATAAGTGAAAAAGTGAGACAAAATTGAATACTTAATATTATAAGCATAAATTTTTATTCGCGTTTTTCTTTTTTATTAATTTTGAAACGTGTATAATAAAAAATGCAAATTTTTACATTTATATATATACATATCAATGCACTGTAAAGCATAAGAGCCTATTTTTGTTTAACCATAGTAATGATAGTATGGTTAAAATATTAAGATCCAAGAAAAATTGAAAAAAATTAGAAAGATAAATGAATTAAAAATGCATCTAATACATAAATAACTTATAATTTAAGTATTTCATGTATATTATACTTAATATATAAATAAAGTATACGCATGAACAAATATAGATAACGGAATTTAATTTTAAGTGTGAAAATTTATGATGATCCTTCGCATCCAGGTTCTTTGCTTTTTGACCTTAGATTCTTATCTTATTTTATAACTGTATTATTGAAAGTGTATTTCACAAAATGCAAAACTTATCCAACACATTTCTACAGTTCATTTCTTGAATTATGAAATCGTCCATTTGCATGCCTAAATTACTCATGCGGCTCGTGCACACATCTATAGGTATTCAAATAAATATATACTTGCCGAGTACAAAAGCACAGATGCAGAAATAAAAAATGGTTTACTTACGAAATGAAGTATAATTCATCGTGAAAAACATAATCTCTTTATTTCAACGTAAATTTCTACTCTTTAATACATATATTATAAATGATTATGTTATTATCGAATTATAAGAAAAATTTAATTTTTCATTTTATTTATAACTGCTTCTAATGTTTTAAAGCAATAAAAGCCCACGGTACAAGATTATTAAGAAACGTTAATGACATAAAGATATTGTTATTTACTAAATATCCAGTGAAAACGAATTTCTAACAAGAACATCATGAATAATAAAATTAATGATTCGTAATTTTGTAAATTAAAGTTCTAAATAAGTATAGAATATAAATATATTAAAATTTATTATGATATTATATTATACATTTATTTATTATTAAAAAATCTTAATATTTTAAAATATATATAATTTAATAAATTAAACGTATACGTTTTTTAAAAGAATTCATTTTTCTATGATTTAGTTTCATTTTAAATATTTTGATTATCTAAAAATCTTTCTTTTTAAATAATTAAAGAACTTTTGATACTGATGAAAAACAAATAAATTAAACATATTATAAAAACAAATATTATTCGGATAGCAAACATGATCGTAATATAA